TTTGATCCGACACATATTTTGGGTTTCCCATAGCAAAACATGGACACTGCCATTTTATAAATATGAGAGGCGGGGGAGGGTATCATTTAGTGAGCTCATTGCTCACAGTACCTCTAGTTTTCGACTAACAAACAGACAAACAGATAGACAGACGGACAGAAATACCAAAAGATGTTCTTCCCCCGAATCTTTGATGACGAGGGGGTAAAAACACTGCCTGTAAATTATATATAGAACATACTGTTCACTATATTTTCTTATAATTAATATCATGATTTATCTTAAATATACGGAAATTGTTTACAAAAAATTTCTAATTGTTATGAGGCATACAGAATGTGATTAAACACGCATTATACTACTGCATAGTGTAGACATATAAATGGCAAAATAATATCAAAATGGACAGTTCTTACTTCTTAAGTTTCATCTGTTCCATTTTGAATTACTAGTATATTAGATCTTCATAAAGCAGGTGATGTGAATTATATTCATATCTTCGAATCGAACATCAATTGTTTATGGCATTTTTTTCTTGATATTATTATTACTTATATTAAAATCTACACGGACTAGTCGACTAATGGGTTAAACTGGAATAAAGTCAGAGGAAAGACTAAGCAACCTCATTGTTTTTGTAAGGTTGTACTTGCCCATATACGATATTTTCTTTATCCAAAAATTCAGGAGAGTATAATTCCTCAGTCGCAAACCAGGTTAAAAAAAAACAAAATCTGTTTGTGAAACACTGATGTCCACGTATGACAGCTTAATATGGCGAGGGTTGAAGATTCTCAGGCATGTCAAACTCCAAGGTCAAGGTGATAAGTTCAAATTATTGGTATCCAAAAGGTCTTGTCACAAGGAATACACCTGAGAAATATGAAATATGAAAGACTTAGTACTGACGGTTTAAAAGTTATGGACAAGGTTAATGTTTTTTTTACAAAGTGAGTCAAACTTAAAGGTCAAATTCAAAAGGTTTAAAATATTTAAAGCAATTAAAAGGTCTTGTCACAATTATACACGTGAAAAGTATGAAAACACTAGCACCAACTGTTTAAAAGTTAAAGGTTAAATTTTGGTATATTTTGGAGGGGGACAAATTTCGAGGTCAAATTTGGTGGTACCCGAAGAAAGGTCTTGCCACAAGGAATACTGTGAATACGAAAGCCATAGCCCTATCCACTTAAAAGTAATGGGAAAGGTAAAAGTTCTTGCGGACAAACAGCTAGACAGACGGATGGACAAGACAAAAATATGTAATTCTGAATCTTCGATTACGGAGGCATAATAAGATGTGCATGCTTGTGAAACAATGATGCCCCCGTATGGCAGCTTATGGAGAATGTTATAATTTCTCAAATGCAATCTCCTAGGTTACGAGATTTAAAAAATCAAAGAATTGTGGTTCCCCGCGTTCGGTGTCTTAGTGGACGGGTTGCAATTATTTATGATATATTGTGTCAAATATGCACGCGCTATCATATGTCATTGAAAAGTAATCACCAAAGTTATTTTTTTTTTGAGAATAAGGTCACAACGAAGGTCAAGGGGTCAAAAATCATAGCCTGCTCAAAAACATCTTGGTACAGGTAATGCGCAAATAAAATATGAAAGTCATATCTCTTCTTAATCAAAATGTATAAGAAAATATAACATTTTTGAAAAGTATGTCAAACTTCAAGGTCAAAGCCACAGGGCCAAAAGACCTATAATATATTTAGAAGGGTATTGTCAAGGGTATAATTTACGTTATGACCAATCTAAAATAACGTTAATTTTTTTAAAAAGTAAGTTAAACTTCATGGTCACAGGGTCAAAATCCATAATGTACGTGTAGTTGGAAAGGTCTTGTCACAGGTGATGTACGTGTGAAATATGAAAGCCCTAACTCCTATCATTCAAAAGTTATGACCAAGGTTAAGGTTTAGTGACATGAGGGGGGGGGGATTTCTAAACGGGTACCTGTAAAGTGAAAATGCTTTCATATCGAAATATGACGAAAGAAACGAACTGGAAACGAAATTGGTTGTTTTGAGAAACGAAACCTACCGAAACGAAACGAAATCACGACGAAACGAAACGAAATCAAAACGAAACCTGCCGAAACGAAACGAAACAAAACTTTCAGAATGTTAATATGGTCTATTTTTACTTCATATGAAATTTATATGGTTCAAGCACTACAGGTAATTGTTTCGCTTCAAGCTCATACATAGGCGTACGCGTCGGAAGGAAATTGAAAGGATAGGGGGGGGGCTTAACCAACAAAAAGATTAACCCCAATTTTTAATGCCTATATGATATATATCTTTACAAAAAAAGTGTGGCAGTAAAAACATGGCATATTTTATTAAATTCTTGCTGAATAATTTACCTACTTAAAATGTTTTGTTGTGAGAAACAGTTAAATTGTTTTAATATCGAGCGTACATAGAAAGGAACACAAGATTTATATTAATATAAATGAACAATTTATATATCAATAAAAAGACCTCGGAATGGAAATAAATCGCTGGTTTATCCTATGTTTTAAACATTCGCAATACAACAGTTTTTTGTGACCGAACATAAACTGCCTTTACGTGTAACACATCAATTTTAGATATGTTGTATCTAGATAAATAAGGACTGAAAATAAGAGTAAGATATAAAAATTAGAAAAAATGCACAAATTCAAATTACACATGCATAGTACGCTCGTGTATATTTGCAGCTGGCAAACATATAAATACATTATTAGCCTGAGAAAGGTGCATAACTTATCAGTAATTAAAAAGTGCTTGAACTATATCAATTTTATCTGAAATAAAAAAAGCCTACATGCAGTTACACATATGTTACATTAAAAAAAAAAATGTTTAAACTACCCATGATGATGTTTGAATTGAAAAAAAAATTTATCCCTCGTTTTGTGTTGTATCCATTTACTAGATGACTAATTGTATTGTTAGGAAAAACTGAATTGCAGAGGGTTTTGTTTTGATACCACTAAAAAATGCTTTCATATCAATAATAAATGGCTTGGTTGTTTTAATTTTAAAAATCCCAGGGGTTTATTGTTTTTGTCCCGTCAGTCTGTTTGTCTGTTTACTTCGATCTCTGTCTGTCTGTCAACATTAACCTAGCGTGTTGGACCGAATTATCTTGCAAACCGAATTGGCAGTAAAAACAGGCGAAATTTTCGATGATCTCAAAATGTTTTGTTGTGGAAACAGTGAAAGAATATGTTAGGAACACGATTATATTAATATATTTTAAAAAGATGGAGAAATACACATGCACTTTTTTGTGCGCAATTAGGATTGGGTGGCATTTAACCAATATATATTTTTCGGAGTAAAAATGCAGCTTAAGAAACACTCAAAAAAAAATTCTCTCTGATGTTCGAGTTATCCCTCTTGTGTTGTATCCATTTACTAGATGACTAATTGTATTGTTAGGAAAAACTGAATTGCAGAGGGTTTTGTTTTGATACCAAAAACATGTAATACCAAATAAATGCATTGTTTTAATTTTAAAAATGTCCATTTAATTTCTGTAAGTCTAGTATTTTTTGTTTGTTTTATTTTTTTACATAAAATACATATATTTTGTATACACATGCATTTGTATTGGATTGTGGATTTAACCTTATATATGTTTAGAATAAAAATCTTAAACTCAAATTCTCTCTTTTTCTCAGCACTATTTTTTTTATCATTTGAACATTGTGCATTATGTTTCACAAATTCATTTTGTATTCATAATTGCATATATTTCTTTTCCATCTATTGTAAATATCTCCACTTTATAATGTTCTGTAAGTCAAGTTTATTTTTTGTTTGTTTTATTTATTTACATATAATTTATTTATTTCTCAATGTTTTAAACTTTGCCTGCTCTCGATCCCATGTAAGCTTAAGCCTTGTTCTCATTACCGAAGGAACTAGGGTGGGGTTGGGGTGGATACAGGGATGACATAACCCCCCCCCCACCCCTCTCCAAAAATTTTACCAAATATAGAATTCAGTAGAAATTGCTACTGTTAGTCCGAAATATCTTAAGATTTCTAGTCTTTTTCACGATTGTACAATTTTCCTGGTACTCAAAATACCAAAACCGTGAAAAAAGCCTAAGAAATGTCAGATTTTCGGACCAAGCTTGTGCCCTCTCAATGTCGTCGAATGACCTTCTTTTGCTTGTCTATCCCCTCCCATCCCCCAAAGTGAAATTGCTTCCTACGGGTGTGGTCCTGTCTATCAATAATTAGCAAAGATATAAATTTTTACTTCAAATTGACCAGAAAGGCATGCATACGCATACTTTTAATGTATTACGTACAATGCATTCATTACTGTACTCGTATATTTCTATACATATAAATAATTATTAACTTTAAATATTTTAACGAAAGAAAACACAGGCACTTGAAGTTGCATGATTTTTTTTATTTAAAAAAAAAGGGTTAACCCCATATCTAATAATTAACTGAAATATAAGGTATGAGGTTAAAAATATATATATGTGAAGTTTTTAAGTACCCGTGAAAGAAAAATTCACATCGAAACAGGTGCATTAATTGTCTACAAACCACCATATTGCAAACCGTCTCTCCCATTGGCCATAATATTCATTGATTTACTAAGGCCTTTTTTGCCATGTGGAATGGTTGAGAAAATTTTTGGATTTTATTTTTACAAAAATAGAACGCAAGCTTGAGTTGTCTGAGTATTATGAAAGTTCTATTTTTGTGTGGGTTCCCTCGTTATTTTTAGACACAGAACAAGTTTCATAAATAGACCATTCAATGTTTACCAAACTGAATATTTAATATCGCCTGTGCTATATTTAAGAAGCGAGAAATACTTTACATTTAGATTTGGTTGCAATACACAAATATTTAAATCTTTATTATATAGGTTTATTTTGCTGTGTTAGCTGTGGATAAAAATAGATATGAAATTTCCAAGTAACGAGCTGGAATTCCCAGTACTCTCGGTCATGTGACCAAAACAGAGAATAAAACATAGACAGTGGGGCACATAATATTCATAACTGTTTAGGTTGTGCAGGAATCAGCTGTGAACATAGTTTCTTAAGTTTGATAAAATATATATATAACTACTCGAAGGTAAGAGCATGCATGACACATATTATTTTTATATTTTAGCAACATTTGTTTATATTAGAACTTGTTAAACTTATTTTCGGGAAGCGGCGCGCGCGCAATGTAGAAACTGGGTCATATTTTTACCACGGTTTGCAGCGAGAGTTAAAACTTCTTTGCAGAATGACAAGTAATATTGATATTTTTTGTTTCAAACAATTCAGTTATTTTAACTGTCATTTTCTTTAATAAAACCGATCAAGGAAAACAATTTATATTTGCATTTGTATATACATATGTATACTGCACATCAATTGGTCTAACTAATGAAATTCAGTGAACTGCTTAACTTTCCGGCTTGACTTGCATTTATAACTTTTTTTTTGTTTTTATGTACTTGGCAACCACTGATTCATTTTTCTAAAGTAAAGATTTCATATTTTATTGACCACGGTTGAATATTTTACAGTCTGTTGATCTTCGTTACAAGTAAAGTTACGACAATATTTGAGGTCTCTGCTATAAATACTAATTGGTCACTTACGATGGTATTTGATTCCGATCTACTAAGTTCTTTTATGATCTACCTGCGGCTGGGTGGTTGCACGCCTGGGTGATTTCTGTGCACCCCGCTATTGATTTTGGCGGGGTGCCATTTCGATTTAAACTTCCTTGTTAAGAAGAGATCTATACAAGTGACCTGAACACGTTTGTCGCGATAAGTCGTGTCATATTATCTGTCAAAATTATCATTGCAACAGTTTTAAGTAATACTTTGGACCATAATCTAAACTTTTAAGCGAATAAAATATGCATAACAAAAAAGTAGATTTTGCAAGTTGTATATATATATTTTTTTCTCTCAGATGGTTCAGAGGAAACAAACGCAACCGATCATTCCCCAGAGGAAACCAATACGCCCTATTGAGCGCCAGAAAATGCGGCCATGGTTGGTCAATCTTCTGAATAATGAGAACATCGAGGGATTTTCTTGGGAGTCTCAGGAGCGCGAGACATTCCGGATCTCCTGGAGACACGCTGCCAGACAAGGGTGGGATCCCGAGGTGGATGCCGGGCTGTTCGAACTATGGGCCAAACATACGGGTACATTGACACATGTTCTTTTTACTTTATTGATTCCACTGTTTGACGACCGCAATAGTTAATGATTCATCGCTTCAAACAAATGAAAGACATACTGCACAACGCAACACACACTCTGACTGCATGAGTATAAGGTTTCAACTTCGTGCAACTTAGTCTAGAGTCCTTTAAAGATCGCGGCGACTCAATAGTTTGTCAAAATATGAAACAAGTACAATGTACTTGAAATTTTCTTTCCGTGCTTGATATAGCGTCATAAACTAGGTTATATTTTAAAATTAATGTAGGAAAATACGTGGTGGGTGATGAACCCGATCCCAAAAGGTGGAAGGCTAACTTCAGGTGTGCCTTAAACAGCCTCCCCGACGTCAAACAGCTCAAAGATCAAGGCCAAAGGAAGGGCAAGGACGCATATAAAGTTTACCAGTTCCTCAACGAGAAAAAAGCCGTCCACAAACACAAATCTGCAGGTACAAAACACCCCCACCCCCACCCCCTAAAAAACCTCACAATGACCTAAAGTAATTTTCATTGAATACCAATGTTGTCGGTCCTTTTCCAGATTGTTTTACCTCGATCTGTTTGTAATTTTGTCAATTGTTATTTCAGAGCGAACCTCTGTACCAAAAATAACCCAGACCAAAACGAAGAGGAGTCTGCGAGCTCGCAATACCAAGAGAATCTCTTACAGGAAGATGGTAGAGATGGACAGCGAAGGCGAAGAGGAGGAGTCTTCCTCAGACTTCATCATGTCGGAATCCGACAGCTCAGCTTCTGTGGGGGTCAGTGTAATAATGTCTACTTAAGGAGGAGCGAGAATTCTCATCTTTTTAAAACTAGCTTAGTTGAGTAGTATCCATAGGACTATAACAAATCTTTCCCTTTGTTTAGAATGACACCCCAGAGCGAATGGACGACATCTCATCAGACAACGAGCCAGTATTTGAGGAAAGCTTAGAAACACGCCTCCCAGATTTCAATAAAATCTGTAAATCCACAGGTATGTTTACTTTGATTTTGATATATGAAAAATGAATCGCATAATCAATAGCAATAGCATATCTCAGTGAATAGATGTCTTGCCAAATAAAATGAACATTAATAAATATATTGGTCTTTTCTGACAGTGATGATCATGTTACTATTTTTAGATCTCACATCCCTCCAGCTGCCCCCGGAGAAGGACCTCCGAGGTCACGTGCCTTGCCCTTACCCCAGTACCAACACTCTTTTCCAGTCCCTCTCCCAGGTATCCCCCTCCATCGGGGGAACTAGAGATGATGGTAAGTTATTTTTTCATTAAAGGTATTTCAGTCTTTATATTAAAGAATGGTGTAGCAATTATTTTAAATTCAGTGCAATAAGGTTAAATATTTTGCATTCATGCTAAATGGACAAGTAAATACTGAGTAAAAAGCCTTAAAGGTAGTTTTATTAAAAGATTAAAGCAAAGCATGTGTTGTAAAAGTGCTTGAAGAGGGTTTAAATTTTTAATTTTTTTTCACGGTTTACAGAGTCCGCCTCGACCACAAGCAGCACATTAACTGACGAAGAACTGATACAGCTGGTTATGGAAGCCGAGGTCCAAACACCGGAAACGGAATACCCCGATTTGTGGGGCAGTGGACTTCCGGTGCCACAGGAGGTCGCTTACGTTGATGCCATAATTGGTAAGGACCAATATATTTATTAACAAAATAACATTTCTAGTAAATTGAAATGCTGTTTGTTACTTTAACTTTCAAACTAATTTTAATTACACTGTTATTTTTTTCTCTCTAGAAGAGGGTGATACGACCTACTTAATTTTGGACAATGTGGAAAATGAAGTTGTGATCACAGATACCCCCGCAGTACGCTGTGAACAGATCACAAATGGAGAGGTCATGGTAAGGGTGAAATCTGGCATTCAGTAATAAAAAACACAAACATTTACCGATAACACACGTAATACTTAGATAAACATGATAAAGGGACAATGGAGGGTAATTTAAATTATAGTCCTCTTTATTTTGTAGCAGTACACTGGATTGACTGATCTCTCACAGCTATGAACTAATAAAGTGACTCTGTGAAAAAAAACACTGATAATCCAATTATCATCCGTCGGTCGGACTGACAAACCAGCGAAGGCCCCGTCGATTTCAAGAGTGTATTCATCCGCCATTCTTCGAAGAGAATCATCCTTCATCATTCATTATATACTATTGTTGGGGTGAATTAATGACGACGATTTGATTTTTATTGTCTTTGTGGGAAAGGAAGCTGGTCTCCATTTTCTCATTTTGTGCAATATCGTGATATATCTTGTCACGTGACTGAGAATGTCATATGACGGACAAACCATACCAATTGCTCAGGTTGAAAACAAAATTAAAATAAAAGGACCAATCGTTTCCATGACGATTATACCGGTGCACTGTTGAGTAAAAAAGGAATAAAAAAAAGACATAAACATTAAATGGAAATTACATGTGCAAACTGACACTTGTATGTAGACAAACATGTACTTGATAATGTATAATGTGTATGTTGCTGAATACTAGTAAAATGTGATATATCTGAAGGAATATGCTTTGTGTTTTATCAACAAACAATGAATAGACGTTATAAAATTCGCTTTCTTTCAAATTAAGAATATAAGCTTTATATACTGTGTATAATTTTACAAAAGCGAAATGGCAACCGTGAGGGTTACCCAGGGCTTTTGTTTAATGTATTGTTGCACATCTAATTGCAACTTCAGCATCACGATTCAAACTCAAATGTTTCACACTGTAATCCAGAATACCGGAAGACATTTTGAGAGAGGTTTTGGGCATGGAACAACATTTCAAATTTTGTTTATACCTCTATGACATGCCCAAGAAGGGTCACCTAAAATTTAAATGGAAATGAAGTTTAATTTTACTTTCTCAAACCCTGGGATAAATTTAACAGAGCAGGCTAATTATATGGAAAACATGTAGGAGGATGATGACTGGGTCGTAAACTATCAAAAGAATGTCCGACCTCTGAAAATATAGAAGTGGTCACCTACTCAAGATAATAGTTATATTATATGCGAAACTGGATATTTAAAAATCCAAAACAAGAAAATGTAGAAAAAGTTTTCTTGTAATTAATGTCAAAAGTTCGTAAGGAACCATACCCTTTTAGCCAAAAAAAAAAAATCATCAACAACAACAACAACAACAACAAAAGAAACTGGGTTAGAGATGAAAAAGCCGATTCCTTACAACAATTGGATAATGAAAATCCTAAATTAAGAAAATAAAGAAAAACATTGCATACCAGTTTTCATAAGGAACTATGCCCTTTTAGCCCCGAGGAATACCCGAATAAAATGCAGATTTCTTATAACACATTTGCATATAGGCATTATAGTAGAATATAAATTCATAAACACTAAGAAAAAATACAAACCTTATTTAAAAGTACATCCTTAGGGACCCCTTGAGGAGCCCCTAGGGCAACATAAAAGCGTTACATCCACCCGACCTACATGTGCATCTAAATCGTACGCAATGGATATACAGTTGAACCTCGTTTATCCGGATACTCCAGCACTTCGATTCCAGGCCATATCATTCGAATAACTGAATCTCATCTGAACTCATTCGCGAAGTAGGTTTTTACGAGCAGTATTACATAACATAATTGTTTAAGTGTTAATTGTCAAGACCCCCCTCCCCCCCCCCCTAAAAAAATGAATCGAAGAGTAGGTTAAAAATTACACAGATCTGGTGATATAAAAAGGTGGTGTTATCAGGTGTAATGCCAGAAATATACTTGTACTTACTCCTAATGTGACAAGACCCACGGTCAACTGAGTATATGTTGGAGTTTCGCAAGATTTGGCCACTGTAGTTTCCTCAGAGTCTGGAACTCTCTCCTAGTCTCGTGTGACAACAATTAAGTTAAGAAGTCCCATAACCCTTTTCTTACTACTTCTAATGCAGCTCGGGAGTAAACTGTATGACAGGTTTTAATATATCTCATACCTGGACGTCCATGATAAGAAAAACAATGTTTCATGACCAACTACTAGTTCATTTTGAGTTTCCACCTTTGGCTGTGATGTTAGTTACAGGGGTCATGTAATTCTCAAGTCTGATAAAAGATGAAGCATCTGATCATTATTATCTCAGCTAGATGTCCATGAGCAACGAAGTAAGGATTTTCAAAATTTGCCCACTCAGAAGCCTGAAAACCTTGAACCAAAGGGCCACCAAATTCAAAATTTTTGTAAAGAGTTCATATACTCATGTAATCATTCCAACCGATAAACCGAAATATCTGACGTTTTTCAGTCTTTATTAACGATTTTGATATTTTACGTGCCTGGCCAAAAAAAAAGTAAGGAAAACGTAAGATATTTCGGACAACCGTATGCAGAAAAAAGGATTTGTTTGAGATTGCAATAATTTTGAAGGTTTTTGTCCCATTCTAAAGTCCAAGGAAAACATGTACAGACCCCACGAAACCAATGTAAACATTTCATGTTCACTACACGCTATATATAATGGAATTCGTCAAACCAACCGTTCTACGGAAGCTGGAAATAATGTATGACGACGGACAAAAGCAGACAACAATAGATCACGTGATTCATGGGACCTTAATATGCAAGGTATAGCAAATAAAACTCGAACACACAAAACACACATATACAAAAAGGTGAGTTTTTTCTCGGTACTAGATTTTTTAATACAAGATCAACTTTTTACAATTTTATTAATACCCTAAGGGAAGAGGGCTGCGGGGAAAAGGGAGTTGTAAAGAATGGTGGCAAAGTGGGGAACTACAACGAGCAAGAAAACAAGCACCCTCAGCAGCTCACCCCAACCGACTTGAAAAATCTATATATATTAGGGAACTGCAAAAGTGGTAGTTAGTTACCACACTCCCCCTTTCGTTCTATGTAACACAAGACAGATTTCTTTATTGTTATACAATAGCGTTAAAAAATCATTACAGAAAAAAACAAGACACCCCAGTTTGTAAAACATAGGTTTCGCATTTCTAATTCATTTCGTTTCCCCCTCTTTTTGCTTTGACTTTTTTATACCCCCCGCTTGAAAAGCGGGAGGGTATATAGTAATCGTTAATTCCGTCCGTCTGTACGTCTGTCCGTCCATCCGTCCGTCTGTTACGCTTTGGGGTACCCATCTCTTATCCGCAACTCCTCTCATACCACTGAATGAAATTTGATGCAACTTTCACAGAACCTTTATTACATATTGCCATTGTGCACCTCCTATTTTACTTTTTGATCCGACACATATTTTGGGTTTCCTGGCCACAGGAAAACATGGAATTTTTCACCAGTTATAACCATATGGGAGGCGGGGGGTATCATTTAGTGAGCTCATCGCTCACAGTACCTCTAGTTTTTTGTAGATATATATATATACCTGAATACATCCCCTGAATCCTCTCGTAAAGAAGCTATTAAAACATACTTAATTGTTACTTTCCATAAACGTCCTTTGTGTCTATAGTTCCCACATTAAAGGTGGGGATTTTTTTGCTCGACATACATATATTATACTGGTGTTAGGTAACCAGTCTTTATCTGATGTAAAATGATACACTATTTTACAGAGAAAACATTTATAAATGGCAACAAATGTAAATCACTTGATCTGGTTAGGGTAAAAAGTAACAAGGGTACGTTAGACCATGTTGTTTCTGTATCATACATACATGTACTCGCAGTATTAACAATAAACTTCAATTGCTTTCTAAGTCAACAAGAGGCCCAGGGGCCACATCGCTCACATGAGCACATCGGCTAGGAAAATCCACATATCAGATCAGAACTGAAAGTTTACGGGGGTGGTTGGGGGTGGGGTGGGGGGCTTGAATTTTAATACTATTTGAGAATGCCTTCATATCAATACAGTATATGACTTTGCTGTTCTCGATAACAAGATTTCTTTATAAACATTTTGTTTCTATATATTACTTCGTAATAACTTGAATTTGATTCCCCATTGTTTTCCTCCCTACCCCAAAGGGCCATGATTTGAACAAATTTATATCTTCAATACATGATGCTTACATGAGGGTATCACTAAACAAAGCTTTTCTGTTCTTAAGATTTTTCCCTTTATTTTTCTATGTAAAACTTTGATCCACCATTGTGATCCCACCCTTCCCTTGGGGATTATGATTTGAACAAATTTAATTCTACACTACCTGAGAATGCTTCCATATAAATACTAGTATCACTAATCATGGATTTGCTATTCTTGAGAAGATTTTTATATATTATAATGTAAAACTTGGATCCCCCATTGTGGTCCCACCCTATCCATGGGGGTTATGATATGAACAAACCAGAATCTACGCTACCTGAGGAGGATTCCATATATAAATATCACTAATCATGGCTTTGAAGTACTTGAGAAGCTAATTTTAAAAGATTTTTCCTATATATTCCTACGTAAAACTTTGACCGGCCATTTTGGCCCCACCCTACCCCCGGGGCTCATGATTTAAACAAACTTGAATCTACACTACCTGAGGATGATTTCACATGAATTCCATCTTTCCTGTCTCAATGGTTTATGAGAAGAAGAATTTTCCTATATATTCCTATGTAAAACTTTGATCGACCCCATCCTACCCCCGGGGGGTCATGATTTGAACAAACTAGAATCTACACTACCTGAGGATGATTCCATATAAATATCTCTAATCATGGCTTAGAAGTACTTGAAAAGAGGATTTTAAAAGTTTTCCCTATATATTCATATGTAAAACTTTGATCGGCCATGGTGGCCCCTCGCTACCCCCAGGGGTCATGATTTGAACAAACTAGAATCTACACTGCCTGAGGATGATTCCATATGAATATCACTAATCATGGCTTAGAAGTACTCGAAAAGAGGATTTTAAAAGTTTTCCCTATATATTCATATGTAAAACTTTGATCGGCCATGGTGGCCCCTCCCTACACCTGGGGTCATGATTTGAACAAACTTAAATCTATACTACCTGAGTGTGATTCCACATGAGTTTCATCTTTCCTGGCCCAATAGTTCTTGAGAAAAAGATTTTTTTTAAATGACATTAATTTTTCTATAATTCATAATTATACTTAGTATCTTCCCTTGGAAAAGAGCGTGGCCCTTCATTTGAACAAACTTGAATCCCCTTTACCCAAGGGTACTTTGTAGAAAGTTTGGTTGAAATTGGCCCAGTGGTTCTTGAGAAGAAGATGAAAATGTGAAAAGTTTACAACGACAACAACGACGAAGACAGAGAACGGACAAATTTTGATCAGAAAAGCTCAATTGAGCCTTCGGCTCAGGTGAGCTAAAAATGTACAAACACAAATTAAAATTAATCCAGACAAGTGAAATTTGCAGAAAATAGTTAGATACTCGAGGAAGGGAGAGGGTTTTTTTTTCTTTGTTTGTTGTTTAACATCCCTCTCAAGATTTGTTTACTCATAGAATATGGAGACGTCACCACTTGCCGGCAGAGGGCCGCAAACTTATTCCTGTTGTCTTCCTGGCATACTTAGGGCTATTGAGCAGTCCGGATTGTTTTCATGTCAACACCTACTGTAACACGGGTCTTCGGTTTGTACAGCTTCATCCGAAGGAACAGTTTCCACATTCCGCAGTGGATTCGGAACGCCTTCTTACTCTACGACTCTAAAGCAGACGCTTTAGCCACTATCCAACGCCGGCAACGAATAAGGAGAGGGGGGGGGGGAGGTGAAGGCCAGGGACTGCAGAATGGCGTGAGACCGGAGAAGGGGACAAGAAGGGGGATAAAGTCATTAAAACTTATTAAATTTTGTATACATTAGACAATGCAGATTGGGAGTGGGTTTGTCTCGAATCCTCTGGATACACATTTGAACTTTATATAGGAAACATTTTAACAGAAGTATAATAATATGTTTTATCATTATGCTTCAATGGTATAAGGAAATCTATAAAAGCAAATATGAAATCTTATGACTGACTATCTTTAAAATCCATCACACTATTTGTCTCGCTCTGAAAAAATGATATGATTTAATTAAATTTTGATATCCATACATTATAATCCAAAACGAAATTGAAAATTTAAACGTTTTTCAGCAATTATCGACTTGCCCCCCTCTCGTATCATCATACCATATGCTTAATTATCATAACTTTAACCCAGATTTACATGATATACTGTATACATTTTTTCTGAGTATCGCTTTTACTTATACTTATCCTTTCTCTTTCTTCCCCAGAAAAAAAAATCCCAACCTATCTTTGGTGATGGGATAAGTGCACATTGTTATACTTATGACATCCCTCCCCCTACTATTGATTTTTAAACAAAATACATGTAAACAGGATGTCATCTGCAAAAATATTTAATTCTAAGCTACATTTGGTCATTGATAAGGATAAAAATTAAAATTGTTTGCTTAATAATCAATAAATGACGTAAAACAGAACAACATTGAATGTTTTAACTGATATGATATTTTTAGATTAACCTTAGGTTAAACCTTCATACATAGGGAGTCACGTGACTCAATACCAAGAAAAAGTCAATTTATACATTCTTGGGAAGTCCTCATATCTTTATAATGGCGGCAAATTTACATTTTGCTTTTTGAAAAATACTTGGAGAGATTTGAGAAATTCTCATTTCTACCTAAATCAGAGAAATATAATGGCAAAAATTTTCAGCATGAAGTTTATGACACGCGGACTCGTTGTAAATGTAAACATATCACACAATGCATTGCGCTATACATCGACTGCCGTTTTCAGAAATTCATCGCAGCTCGATTTTGCTTTTCTGAAAACAAGCTAGCAAATCGACCAGATACTATAAGATTCAAAGTAGTGAATACGGATTTAAGAAGAGTCTCTCTGAATCGTTTCCAAAGAAGCTGACACTTTTGTCAAAATTTTTATTTTTATTAATATTTTTGTGATATTTTATTTATTTATTTATCTCTCTCTCTTGATTCTGGACATTGACTTCTTTTGGACTTGTTTACTGTGTTTCTAAGGTAAACTACAATGGGATTTGACAAAAATAAACGGACAGATGAAAAAATGACGAAAAAGCGGCCGATTGAGCGGCAGAAAATGCGGCCATGGCTGCAGGACATGTTGGAAAATGGTGGCGTCCAAGGGCTGGAATGGTTTGATAAACCTAAAGATCAGTTTAAAATCAACTGGAAGCATGGGTCTAGACACGGCTTCAACACCAGAAAAGACGCCAGTCTCTTTGAGAAATACGCCCAACACACAGGTCAGTAATAAATTGATTCTACATGTCCAGTCTTAGTCAAGTAGGGCCTAGTACTTCCTTCTCCACCTCCTACCCTCCAAATATCACATGATTCAGCCTTTTAGAATTTTTTTTATTAAACTAGGATTTTTTTTCATGGACAACTTTAATTTTGAATTGTGAATAGGCCGAACTTTCGTCTATTTAATCATCAAAATTTAATGCACACCTCTATAAATTTTCATTTATTGATAATGCATTCAAGTGCGTGAATTTACGTCAACATAGAGAACCCAATTTACTTATATTCGGTCATTTATTTCTTACTTTGTATATTTCTATATCCTATATCTTTGTATATTTATGTCTTTGATTTTGTTGTTCGAATAATGAAACACAAATCTGAAATATTTTAGCACATTTTAACAAAAGAGTTTAAATTAATTTTAATTAATTTACATTTTTAAAGATGGAAATATTTTGCACATAAGTTTTCTGCGTTTTTTCAAGTTTTTTTTTTCCAGTCTGACATCATAAAAAATGCTGTTTTCGTTCATGTTGATGACCTGAATTACATATGATTCAGAAAAAAACACCTCAGAATTAAATTAACATCTTAGTTTAAACTTTATTTCATTTAAATTAGACATCATATATACACAGTAGATGATACACACAGGATTCGGAAACGAACCGTTTCCTTAAATTAACTTTCAACTATTTATAAATAAACATTTGTTTATAACAAAATCTTCATTTATTACATTTATTAAAATAATGTTAAAATGAGGATAAAAAATGTTGAATACCAATACAAAATTTTAAAAATTTACACGTGAAAACTCTACAATAATTTGAAAAATCATTTTTATTGATTCTTTTTTTTTTTTTTTTTTAATTTATTAAAATATTTAATTATCTTTTTTTGTACGATTCAACAGTATCAAAATTGAAGAATTAAAATTTTTTTAAATTATAACGATTTTTTATAATATTTAAGATAAATATTTGTTTATTAAAGCCAAATTTGAACATTTTTTTATCATGGCTATTGCCACACCACTGTAACATTTTAAGTTGTAATAATTTTGTTTTAGAAAGATTAATTTTTACTCGATCCTGGTATAAAATTTTTATTTCTAATTCCTGACCTTATTTTTGTTTTATTTTCGGAGAATATTTCAACATTCTGCATGTGGTTTATAAAACAACAAAAAATTACATGAATTTGTTTATATACAAGTATTAATATTATTTACGCGAAACCTTGAAGGCATGTTCTCCGAGCTATTTTAATATATACAAATTAAATAAATAAAATTAATTCTTTTTATATTAAAAAAGGATAGTTGTATTTTACCAAACTTTACAAATTCGTGTTAAAAAAAATAATTCTTGAAATTTATTTTGCTATGAAAATTATGAAATATAATGTTTCACTATAAATGATAGCTGAATGTTGGAGGACAAAACAGTAACTATTTCGATGTATTTGTTATTTAATATCTATGCGCATGCTTGTCGACATGCTTTCCGAGCAGAAGTAAACGTACATTTTTTATTTTATTTTTAATTCTTCGTTTAAAATCTAAACCTGCGAAAATCTAAGAAAAATCTCAAAAACTGGGAAAATTGACATAATACTCGTTCATTTTCTTAAGAATATATAATATTTTTATTTTTTTTAACCACACTATACAAAACAGAATTTTTAAAAGAAATCTTCATTTTCTTATTAATTTTATTATAATATAAAAACAATAAAACAATATTTTTCTTTATGTAACAATAAAGAAGTATTCTTTATCATTAAAACGGAAAAAAAAAAGTTAAAAAAAGGTTGAAATATTTTGTCTGGCATAATTGATTATTTTAATTATGTACAAAAAAGTACATCAGATCTTTTGTCTTTTCAAATTAATATTTATAAGTTTCAATTGAATACAAATATAGACAATGTACCATTTCGTTCAGACAACAACAAAAAAAAAATTACTTTGTTTTACAACAATAAAATTGCTCGACATTTATGTATTTTGATTTCAGTTTTTCCCCTAGCGTAAAGAAAGAAAAAAAAATGCTTTTTTTCATCGGGGGGGGGGGGGGGGGGGGGGGGGGGGGGGGGAGTTAAATAAATAAATAGTTAAAAAAATTTTAAAAATACATATTTAAAAAAAAAAAAATGAGTCTATGAATTTCCCCGTCTTTCATCTATAATAAAATCATTTTTTTAAAATGATGTTTATTAAACTAAATCTCATAACCCCTTTAATAGAACAAAAAAAAATTAATAAGGAAATCAATCAATCACATGTATAAATTTCTCCAGACATTCTAAAACAACCCCCCCCCCCCCAAAATGCATGCTATGGCTTTTTCCTTAACCAAAAGTCAGTAAATGTAGTTGGACTGCATACCAAACATAGTTTTCAAAGAAGTTTTCAAAGTTGTTTTAAAATTTTAATTATAGGACGGTGGGATCCCGATGATCCAAACCCAAAGAAATGGAAGGCAAACTTCCGGTGTGCTCTCAACAGTCTCCAAAACGTCATGGAGATCAAACAACTGGGAGAAAGCAAGGGTGCGCATGCCTACCGGGTATATCAATTTTTGCCGGAGGAGGAGACGAAACCAAAAGATGGTAAAAATATATAAAAACACTAAGTATCTGCACTTCCCAATACTGCAAAGCCGAACAATTTTCAAAAAAAAATTAAACATCATAGTATAAAAGAAATATTAAATATTACAATAAATAGATACTAGTAAATAAATAAAGGATGATATGAAATTTACATTGAAATTTTTTATTTATCAAAATTTTAAATGTATTCTAGTAGACCACAGAAAAACTAACAAAAAGAAAACAGAAAAAACAAAATGCCGGAGAAATTACAAATCTGAGGACACAACGGACGAAGAATCGGAGAAAGAGGTAGATTTTATACTCTTTTGTTGGAATTATAAAATATTTCAGATCTTTTTATTCCAGCTGTACTTTGTTTTGACATTCATGTCAATTTTTCAGCAGGTAATTCTAGAGATGATTCCGGCGGAAGAATTAAAAAGTGAAGAATTGTCCTCTACATGGGTCAGTGAGGAGGCACCCCCATCTACCCCTGTCTCTCCAAGTGAGTATAAATCACAGATACTTCTTTGTGAAGTACTAGTAACAATATGGATATTTCTTTAGCTAGAAAGGCTTTGGAGTGAAAAGCTGTGTGGTTTGTGGCTTGTGGAGAATTTTCCGTTTGATTTTCAGTGCATTTTTTTTTTCCCGAAGCGTTTTTTTTTTTTACACTTATATGTACATTGTACATGTACAATGTATTTGAACGGTTTACACAGACACAAAACAGGAAATAAATGAAAACTTTTTTTTTATTCAGAGCCTCTGGTTCACGAGTTCACATACAAATATCACATGGCGGGCTGCATTGTCAGACAGATTCCCAGAAAGAGACCAGCCGAGCAATCTCTCCCGAGGGATGGTACGTCAACAGAAAGTCAACTTTCTTCAACAAAATAATTTTGTTCTCTTTTTTAAAAAAAATGCCATAATGTGAAGATTTTTTTTACTTATAGATAATGAAGATCTGGCAGAAATGACACAATCGGAAGCTCAGGTAATATTCTTATGCTATGATAACGATGACAACTTTTGAGGTACTAGAATCACAATTTGCAGTAGTTGAAACAAGAGAACTTCTCATTTTTGCAATGTAAAATTGTTAGTAATTTACAACCCACAGCCTGTACAACAAACCAGAAAAAGAAGGCGGCTTAGCAATTGTGATGACGAAAGCATGACGTCATATTCGCAACTTTCCGTGACCGATGAATCTTCCAACATTTCCAGCTCTTCAGACTCCTGCCTCTCTACCCCCTCCAGTCCAGGAGAGGGAACGGACAATTTGCCAAATTTTGCAAACTTCTCCCCCTACATCCTGGGTAATGCACTACTTTCTTTAAAGGGACATGGACTTAGTTTCAGCTAAAATCATACAATGTATTTCTTAAATATCTTGAATTTATGTCCTTCCATGATCATGGTTTTATAACATTCCTTTTCTTTTGTTTTGTAGATAAAGACTGGGTTGTAGAAAGCGAGGAAACGGTAACCACGACACAATAATATATTTAAGTGACCACAACATTTGTTTACCACGTGACTGGGATTATGGTGTTAAAATTATCGGTTAAAACGAAAAATAAAAAATATTAATATTTATAAAATAAATATAGCTACAGCAAAAATAGAGAGTGGTTGTTCAAGTATTGTTGACATTAACTTCGTTCTGCACAAATTGCTACATTGAGATTACACACACATTACACTGTTGAGCAGTGTCTAAAGACATGTTTACAATGCACATTTTATTTTAATATATGTATATATGTAAAAGACAGAAGGTAACACTGCAGTATCATGTACTGTCAAACAGTGTCATATGTTTTCTAATTATTATACCTTGGAAATTTGTCTGTACGAAATTGGTCATTTCATATCATTAATTTGTTTTGTATATTAATTAAAATTAATATTGCATATGCATGAAAATTTCTTTTTTTTTATATCATTAAAATGATTGTTAATCACTTAAAGATTGCGAATAATGTGCCATACTCATTGTTAAATTCTGTCATGACTCAGAATTTGTTCATTAGATGTTGATATGACAATAAACTATTTATGTGTACAATTTTTATTTTTGGTTGTTTTTTCTTTTTGCTAACACAAATGTGTTTGACGTGTTTAGCAGGAATCTAAGTAAATCAGCACGGATTCGAGTTTCTTTGTACTAATTTCTAAATCATCTGAGCACCAGCCGTTTTACTAGGAATGTCAGCGAGTATTCGAGTACTCGACTATCGATCGGTCAGGTGCACTACCAGGTATTCCTATTCGGTTATTCGTAAAAAGTGTATTATTTTCAATTATTCTAATTTTTTAGTTATTCTATATTCAAGGTAATAAAAATATTGACAGATTTTTTTCTTCTAAATCATTAAATTTATCGAGAAGAGATCAACCGCGAGAAAATGTGAACAGTGTACAAGATTTATGTTAAGTCAATGTGATAATACTGTGTTCAGATAAAATAGAAAAGACCTATCATATCTGTATCAAAAGCTTTGATCAGATCAGCTCTAGTGAGCCCTATATTTGTATAGAAACCTGAAGTATTGAATGCAAAGCTTCTTTCATATCTGTGATATAAGGCTATGCCCCTTGTTTTTGATCTGACGTCACGACTTGACCTTCTTCAAATAATCAACATGTGTGCTACTATAGTACCGTGAACTCAAATCGACAAATGCATGATGTCCTGCAAGTCTCAAGAACAGACTTCAATCAAAAATTTCAATAACAGACGTTGAATATAATTTGAGATAACTTTCAAAACAAAAACACAATTTTGGCAATACATTTGATTTTGAATATTGCATAAATAATTTGCAAATTTTCAAACATTTTTGGGGTAATAATATATTAACCGTTTATGGTCCTTGGGTCAGACTGAAAACTAAAATTTACAACCTTTTAATTTCTAAACGCAATAAGGAAGTGTTTCATGCTTCCTTTCTATGACCTTGATCTTGTTCAAATGACCTTGACCCAATCAAAATATTAAAAATTATTTTGTTTTATATTTGTGTATGCTATATTCCTTTTTTGCTATTGATATGTGTTTGACCTAATAAATTCAATTGATAGAATTTTAATTTCAAAAATATGAACATTTTCAGTGTATTCTAATATTAACTTTGCTTAAAACCGTTGAACAAGTAAGCCAACGAGAAGGGAATAACCAGCTGTATCAGAAGCTACGGACTTTTCATTTAGATGAAGACTCACTCACTCAATCTTCTCTGCGCCATCAGGTGCTTGAGGCGACTACAAGGTACTTTCACCTGGCTCGGTCTGCAGCTGCTCGTGGTGCTGTCTCCATGGACTTAGATAAAGACACTATTTTATAAAAATTTGATTAAATCGAATTTCATAATTTGAAAAAAAAGAATGTATTTCTTGCACATAAAATAAAAATTCATGTATTTTGTTTCGCGATTAACTTAGTATGTTCGACGTCTAGGAGTCACATAAATAAACCATTTAGATCTACAAGTTCTCTGTTTTGCAAGAAACTATACGAAAGGGGGCGGAGCTGTTCAAAAGCATCAGTTTTTCAGGATCTTGATTGGATAAACAATGAAAGTATGTGTCACGTGCCTTCTTGTCGACCATCCACAATTCTACATAAACCATAAGAAACGAAAGTTGAACAAACTAATATTATTGGAGTCATTTACAAAGAGAATATGCGAATACGCTAGGAAAATATCTGGGATTGGCACAAAAAAGAAAGTAAAAAAAAAATAACTGTTTTTGTGAATAAAAATCTTTAAAATCGGTGTTGACAATTTAAATTGGTTATCCAATATCCTATGTCACAATCACTTAATTAAAAAAAGAATTCATTTATTTATTGCATACACAAATAGAAATTAACAGAAAATACCATATCCTTGAAATAAATCATTTTTTTTCAATAAAGTTTTCACTCTATATTTTAACCCCCCCCCACGTATTCTAAATCAATAAAACATACCGTCAATTTTTTTTTAAAAAGTACACTTTATCACAAAACATTTGTATCTTTAGTAAAAATATTCGTTATCAAAGGGTCTTATTTACATGAACTGTGTGTCAAAAACTGATGACCTGAATGTCAATCACAGCTTATATATCTCTTTTTAAAAAATTATTTTCCTTTTCTTTTTTTTTTATTTATGTACATGTAATTTCTTTCAACTGAAGTTCGGCTGGACAATTCATTACTAATGATGTAAGTGTATTTGAAAAGAAAAAAAAAAACAAAAGCAAAATATAATTTAACGAGCCCTGATTATTCTCATGTCGAGAAAACTTTTCTCTTATATAAATTCCGTGGAGGAAAGTGTCAGATGGTGGACTAAATATGAAGCGAGAGATTTCGACACTTTGTAAGAACTGGTTGAGTTTAGTATTAATTTGACAATTAAAAGGCAAAATGTATGTTAAATACAGATAAATCGAACAAAGCGAAGTTTTAGCTGAGGCCTTGGGCCCGTAGTGCATAAAGCTTGCTAAACAGCTTTATGTTACGATCCCATGGTCTTTTGGCATCATTTAAAGTAAAAAAAGTCATTTCGGAAATATTATAAACGCGTGCTTCAAGTTCTTTATTTTGAGATGCATCGACGGTTTTTTCTTACAATGACAGAGTCTCCGAATTAATTCGATATGCAATAGCATGTCCCTGCAATTTTTAGCAAATACAGCCAATCGTTCGGCCGTATTTTGACTGATATGGTTCGTACTAGTTGTAGAGCTATTGTTTTCGTGCTTATTGTTCCGTTTAGCTGATCAATACAAAGGATTCGCGGTAGGTGTGAACCGCCGACAGGGGATGCTCACTCCTCTTATGCACCTGATCCAATCCTCCAGTTTTCAGGGTGACCGTGTGTTTGTCCTCTTAAGGACTGTAATTGTTTTAGAGCTTTATAAAATTGCTCATTTTTCTTATCTAAATATTTTCAATAAAGCCTTAAAAATTAAATGTAAACTTTTGATTCTTTAATAAATAGTAGACACCCTATTAAGCAATTACTAGTATACACATTTCTTCGGACCCTTACCCCCTTTAATTAAAGAAACTTTTGTTTCTGAATTTTGACAATTTATTATTTTTCATAATTGCGTTATATATTTCATGTCTATTTTATTTCAAAATAGAATTATTAGAACATGTAATTGCTAACACATATGATTTTCATACAGCTCCCCAACTCCCTTTCGGTGCCATATATCCCTGTAAGATTCATTAATTAAGACATAAAATTTGTGCATTTTTGACTTTTAAAACGTTTTAGAAAAAAATATATTCAATTTTTAAATGCAAAGCGCATTTGAATGCATGTGCATTATGACCATATCATCTTGTCTACACTATTTATATATTTTAATATACTATATATTAAAGCATTCAGTCCAAAAGTAATAAAAATGACCGTGAGTATTATTGTGATTATACGTAACTAAGAGGGAGGTATAATGTTTTTAATTTTCCACAAATACTTATATTATTTGAATACTGAAAATAAAAACGGCTGCACCAAGAATCGTTTCAAACTTTGCAGGTATTTAGGACACAATGTGTAGGTTTCCTTATAAAAATCGCAGAATGTTTTTATTTTTTACATTAAAGTTTTAAATAACAAGTGTATTCTGGGAATATAGAGATGAAAGTTTGTCAGCTAAAACTGTTCATAAGGGGGCTGCACAGAATTTCATCAAACTTTGCAGGTATTTAGGACACAATGTGTAATGTGCATATTCTTGGAAATTGATTCCTTTATTTTTTCTGTGAATTTCCGCACTTTTTAACATAGGCATTTGGCCATACCTTGAATATAGAGATGAACAGTTTGTCAGCACAACTCCTCATAAACCGCTGCACAGAATTTCGTCAAACTTTGCAGGTATTTAGGACACAATGTGTAGATGTGCATATTACCAGGAAATTCCGATTCCTTTATTTTTTCCGAGAATTTCCGTATTTTTTTGGCATTTGGCCATACCTTGAATATAGAGATGAACAGTTTGTCAGCACAACTCCTCATAAACCCCTGCTCAGTAATTCGTCAAACTTTGCAGGTCCTTTTGATTGACACAATGTGTATATGTGCATAAACAACAGGAAATTCAGATTCCTTTATTTTTTCCGAGAATTTCCACACTTTTTAACTTAAGCATATGGCCATACCTTGAATATAGAGTTGAACAGTTTGTCAGCACAACTCCTCATAAACCGCTGCACAGAATTTCGTCAAACTTTGCAGGTATTTAGGACACAATGTGTAGATGTGCATATTACCAGGAAATTCCGATTCCTTTATTTTTTGAGGAATTTCCACACTTTTTAACTTAGGCATTTATATTGAATATAGAGATGAACAGTTTGTCAGCACAACTCCTCATAAACGGCTGCACAGAATTTCGTCAAACTTTGCAGGTATTTAGGACACAATGTGTAGATGTGCATATTACCAGGAAATTCCGATTCCTTATTTTTTCCAGGAATTTCCGCACCAAACTTAGGCATTTGGCCATACCTTGAATATAGAGATGAACAGTTTGTCAGCGCAACTCC